CTGGTAGTCTTTATGTGTGCATGTATGTGTGGAGTGAATGACAGAATGCTACAGGAATCCCACTGAGCGGACCTGGGCCAACGGGATGTCACGTGGGAGCACACTGAAAGCCACAGATCTGCTAAAGATGAATGAAGCCACTAATTCATACTCTGGCCTCCCATGTGCCCACTTAGCTTTGTGCTAAAAACTGACTTTGAGAGCAAAGGACCTTTTTTCCTTTCAGTGAAGGGTCTTTTATTTTCCATCAACGCTAAATCAGTACTTGAGGGGCAGAAGACGGATGGTCCATGGTCACATCAGAATTCATGGGGTAGACCTTGCATTATGGAATTTAGACAGTGTTATTAATTTCCTTTTTATTGTGGAGGAAAGCACTGCTGCACATCCAATGTCTGGAAAGCAAAAGGTGAGGAAAGAGAAGAAAGCAAAATCGGGGGTGGGATGTCAGAGCTCTGTCAAACATAGAGATTGAAATCTGGATGGATCTGAGAGAGTGGACAGCCAAATCTAAATCAGAATTTACAGCCAGGACCATAATCTGTCCAGAGCTGAGAACTGGAATTTAAAGGTTTGTTTCAAAGATTGAAGTCAGGGACCAGTGAGTTGAGTAATTGTATCATCATATTTCTGCTTAATTCTCTCAACTGTGTGTTAATGAAATTTAGCCTAAATTGGTTGAATCTTTGAATCTTTGAATTGGTTGGTCAGCTCTCAGCAGCAGCCACACTGTAGGAAAAAAATTGCAACAAATGCACCTTTAACTCATCACTGGGACAGTATCCTCAAAAGGTAAGCCTTTGTACCGTATCTACCCTAAATGGTGCATATAAGTATCCTAAATAAACTTTAAGGCAGTGGTTCCTCTTTCACTTGACATTGGAAGGATCCCTATACTAAATAAGATAATAATTCCTCTGGTATTTCTGCTGTAATTACGATAGTTTAAAGTATTAGATTTGTTAACAGAAACTGTGTTGACACATTAAAATAATTAACCAAAATTGACTTGGGCTGGGAGGGGAATGTGAATAGATTAAGAATATGATTTCAGTTTACATTTTTTGTTTGTTTGTTTAACATTTGTATTGAGATTTTTTATAATATAATTAAACATTTTAAGTCATCCTATAGACTCCTTGGAAGTTTGCTGAGGCCCCAAACTGATCTCAGTGTAACTAATTTACAGGGCGATTTCATCCGAATCTGTACAATATAAATCTTTGTTTTTTAGAATAAAAGCAAACATGAAGGTTCACCCCAAACCCTGTTTCTGAACATGACCGCCACTGGGGTATAAACGGATCATACAAAAATGCACAAATGAGATCATCCGAATTCATACGTATTGTACCAATTCACCAAAATGTAAAATAGATACAAATTGCTATGACATTTTGTTGGAGACCCCCAATTGAGAACCACTGTCTTAAGGTAGTAATATGTACTCTTTAAGGGTAGAAATGGTACAAACTTGCCCCTTTGAGGGTACTGCCCAGTGACAATGTGTTGTACCACTGAAAGTAAATATTTGCTTTTTTTTCCCAGATTGTGCCGTTTCAGCATAGTGATAGGAAAGTTATTACAACCAACCAACACTTGTTAAAAGAACGATTTTGTGAACAAGTCAGCTGCTAAAATGACGTTAAAAGGCCACACAAAGCTTGTCAGCTTCCAAAGTACATAGCCAACTAGTCAGAACAACTATTTATCTAAAGAGAATAAACTGTGGTTATTCTGACAGTTTATGTATTTTATACATTTGGAGGCAAATGATTATGACAGTTGTAGATGATTATTGCAAAAAAATTATGCACATTATACCACAGACATTTCTAATCAACATGATACTTAACATAAATAATGTTTTCAGATTCAGACAGTCTTATTCTAGGTTAAGAAGGATTTTGAAATGGATGGCAGCCAAGCAAATTGCTTTTCAGACCAATGTCACGCTTATCTGAGGCTTCAAAACTGTCCAAATATGCCAGCAGTAACTAGAGGATATGTGGTACAAAGAAACCCTGCATTTCACCCCCCATTAAGATGCATGTAACATAGAACTCTAATAAAATTGTTCCTTTGGTTTATACACAGCACGATGTGCTAAATGTGTCTCTAGAATGAAATACAGATCCCGAAATCATCACTAAACCCTGACCCTTTCCGCAAGCCATTCTCCAAACCACAACTGTTTTGTCTCCGTTCCCCCGGCCGATACGGCAAATCAATCAGACTGATAACGAGAGCAGGGTGTGAGAGCAGGCCAAATGCAGTGATGTTTGGGGAACTCGACACCTTATGAAACCACCACTGCAGTCTTATAATGATCTCATGGAGGAAAGTGTGATGAGCCCACAGAGAAGCTGTCTGATCACTGAGCCATGCACGAGAGAGAGGAGGGGAAAGAAAGAATCAAAGACGATGGTTAATAAGACATAGGCTGATAAATAAAACAGATAATAAAACAGAACCTAAAGATCTTCAAGTCTATCATTACTGCTCCACAAATGGCAACACAAATTCAAATTCCAGAAGTGTTAATCTCACCAACTAAATTGCTAAACTAGCACTGACTAAAGGCTAAAAATATGCATGATGACAATATATAAGACGAGGAAAAACACAAACACTCTGCTAGATATTAAAAATGCACTAACAACATTTCTGTTTAAATAGAAATGCAGTTCGACTGACCGTCAATAATATCCGATTGCTGTGGCAGAACAGTAAATGAATAACGGAAAACTGAAGCACTTTGTTAGCGATTAATTAACCCAAACACATAATTTTTTTGATTTTTCAGATGACACATAAACATAACATAACATAAACATTCTGCACAAAATGATGCGAAATTGCGAATGAACTTCAACTTTTCACTGATTAAAATGAGATGCCATTTTAGTCGGTCTAAATCTGACTAGAATGAAGATATGTGGTGAAAATATTGATATTTACAAGATATTTTTGTCAAAAAAAAACAAAACAAAAAACTGGCAAAAACAAGGAAAAATTAACACTTGACCTCAGCAACTCCTTGTATGGTTATTTTTGTATTATGCATTTATATAAAATTAAGAGTGCAGTATTTCCAGCTCTGGAGATGTATAAATCCTTTCCATGAAATTCCAATGCAAATAAATGAACAAACTAACAATACATTACTAAAATGAAATGACCTAAACTGGCTGAACAGAAAGGAATACAGCATTCAAAACTCAATACAAGGGCCTAAGAAAGTTGATTTATATCCTTACCCTGAAAAGACCAGAATGGCTGGTCACCCACACGTTGAATTTTGGACAGTGATCCTCAGCATACTGGTCCACCAACCCAGGCTTTTAACTATACCCTAACCAGCAGAGTAATTAGGCCTCGGTATTATATCATACAATTATAATATTGTGCTTGTAATATCCCTTTCTGATCCAAGAGAAAGATGAAACTGGCAGGTAGGAGCATTTAGAGAAGACTTCGGGGGAAATATAACGTACTGAATTACAGGACTAACCAGTCATATAAGAACAATACAGTATAGACACCGCAAATCGCCGATGATGTATGATCGACACATACTTTCTTCAAAACATTTTGCACTTTATCCAAGATCTTTCGGCTAGGCCTTCATTTGTCTACTTGGAAATACGCACCTCCTGGTCAAATGGCTCTGAAGACACATCTACAGTGAGAAACCTGCAATCACTATGGTTACCGGACCTGCCTGTCTTTCCACATGCAAGAATTTGGATTCACCCACATCGGACTGCTGGAGAAACCATATGAAGATGCCGTCTGAACACATGAATAAGCAAACACTTCAGTAACTACAGTATTCACGCAGAAATGTAACGGGAAACGGTGAAATCACAGAGGCCTGGAGATACATTCCTGTGGTGGGTCATATTTAACAAGAACTCACTGCTGGAAAAAGTATGAGAGAAGGTGAAAGAGAGAGAAAAAGGTATTCAAAGACAAAATATTGTCATTTGAAGTGCAGCATTATAGTGCAGAGAGTCAAACATCAACATTACAATGTATTTATGACCATTATCAGCAAGTATTTACATACAGCAATTAATGTGCAATAACAGTATGCAATATTGTGTAAATGCACTCTTGTGTATTCATTGGATTTAGTGCTGAATAGCAATAACTTGCATACAAATATCAATGTGATTAAGGAATCCAAACCAAAATTAGTTAGGTGTCCTCAGATCAATGGTGATTAACTACCTCATATGGGATGATTTTGAAATGTAGTGAATGGTCAAAGCATACACCATTACATATAACTGCCATAAAAAGCACAGAAGACATCACTGCATGCTACTGGAAACTACACGACACATTTATAATTGCTCAATAATTCACATTTTCAAAACAAGTGAAAAGGAACGAATAAATGCTCAAAGTAAGTAAATTGTCTATGGGTGTATAACCCAGCGTTTCCTTCCACATGTGCCACACACTTTCTGAAACTGAGGTTGGCTCTCAGCAGGATTTTACCACCCAGTTATTAAGCAATGAACACAAGACCAGACATCTGGGACCCCCTGGATGATTCTCTAAAACAAACATAACAGACTAAATAGTCCAGATTAAACCAGGAGAATGGAAATATTCATTTGGCATCGCTGTTCAGTCATAGATTTTTTTTGGTGAACATTTATTATTTCTAAATTTGTTCTTTTGTTCCATTTCTCTGTGTGTGAAAACCAGCCATCTATAGTCACACCCTAATGACTCACTCGAAGGATTTTTAAACATTTTTTCCTTTCTCTGAGATGGACAGTCATGTCAAGACAGTAAGTTTTACTGTGTCCATGAGTCTGCAGGCAAAAAGTTCCCATCCAAAAGAAAGAAATGAACCTTTTCTTGTTAATCTATTCCTTGCTATTCCAGCTATTTTTTACCCTCTTTTATATTTATAACAGAGATGCATTGTGCCAATCTGCTTGATTTATAAACCTTTCAAAAACCCGTTTTTATGCGGGCGGTCCATGTCAATAAATGTAGTAAAACACAGATCCAAAATCTTGGTAACTCTTATTATTCTGTAGAGAGGGACAGAGGGACAGAGAAAAAGAGACAGAACTGAAAGAACTGAATTGAAGACAGATACATGTAGCGAGAGAGAGGAAAGAGAGTTAACAAGTGACTGACAGTAGGAAAAAGTGGGATCCAAAGATGGACAGATAAAGAAAGAACGGAGTTCCGCACGTTGCAGACATCAAGCGAGGGCATGTTGATGGCAATCTGTGTTCTACTGAGGTCTCATTCCAGCAGTTTGAAAGGTCGAGTTAGACTGATGAGTGTTTACTTCTCCCTAAATAAGAAACACAGGCACTGGGACAAAACAAAGTAAAACACTACGAGAAATATGCAAACTGATCTGAGGTATAATGGAGTAATTAAGCTTTTTTATCCACCTCCCGAACACAAATGATGAGCATGCCTTCAATAGAGCTCTTTAAATTAATTTCATTGCTAAAAATGTGGAAATGTGGAAAAGGTCCCCCCCTAAGGCTTATCTAGTTTTCCAGCAATTGTCCTAATATTGTATGTGCTGGACCAGTTAAATGATTAATGCTTTAAGCATGAGATATGAGTGTTCTTGAATTTTGCTTGTGTGCTTGCACGGATACATAGGCAAATATCCTGCATACATAAGCGTTAACTAATCTAACCTGCACTGTTTAAACAGTTTTTGTGTTAGAGAAGTGAGCAATACGCCCCACAGCCTCCTTGACCAGTTTCAGAGAGTTCAGACAGGGCAACTCCTCTTGTCTTGTGCACGCTCTCCCACAAGCCTGGAGTTTGCAGGATTTTCTCCACCAGCTCCTCAAATGCACACTGAACACCATCCCTCGTCTTTGCACTGGCCTCTGTATGAAAAAGAGAGAGAGACAGACAAGTGTACACACACTACACATAAAGGAGGTCTGTAACACCTGCAGAAATCTATGGCATGACCAATCACTATATATATTTATATCTATATTTGAAATCATTTAGTTCTCAAAAACATTTCTTATTTCTATCAATGTTGAAAACTGCTTACATTTTTTTAACTGTGAAACGGAAACTTTTTCTTTCAAGATTCTATGCTGAAAAGAATGTTCAAAAGAAAAGCATTTATTTAAAAAAAATAAAAATCTTTTGTAACATTACATAAGCCTTTACTATCAATTTAATGCATCCTTGCTGAATAATTTCTTTCAAAACAAATACACAAAAAAAAACAACAACAAAAAAAAGAAATGTGAGACTGGTGTGCTGCAAAAACATAAGAAACACTTGGCCTTTAATATAAAAAAATCAAGAGAAAGTAGAAGCGATTAGGAAACATTAAATCTGAAAAAATAGCATTGGCCTCAAGCACACAGACCGCAGCCATGGTGTCCATCTGCAGATTTCATTTGGTCTGAGGGCTTCATGGCTAATTCAGACAGATTGCTGCTTACACTCATGAGGCGTGTCACATGACTTACAAACCAAACCCACAGTGGAGAAGAATGCGGCACGTCACCCACAAATACATATACAGAACTGTTACGATTACACAAGCTCAAATGATAAATAAATCAGAACCACTGTAAAGTCTGACTTGAATTTACTGTCATAATAAATGAATGCTCAACTTATACAAACAATCCATCTCTCAATTAAATAACATAATCTTTGTTTTTAGCAAATGGGCCCAAGTGTTTAAAAATAGTATCCTGTGAGTATTACGGCAGTTGAATAACCTAGCTTACGTCAAAAGTCAGATTTTTCCATGTGTGAAGATGATGAATCTTGAAACGAAATATTGGAAATGAAACCAAAGTAAAAGGTCAGTGTATTCCTATTTAAAGCTAGTGTATTAGTGAATAAGGAGGGCTCAAGTAATTCTTCGGGAAATCTTAGTGACAACTAACCTATGAAAAGCATGGAATGTTTTCTAGCGAACTTCAGACCCTCTTCTCGCTCAAGCTCATGGTCTTCCTACGCAAACAGAGAAAAACAGCTCTGAATTAGGCATCGTTTTTCATTAGAGTTACAAATACAGAACCATTTTTCCATGACAACATCAGCATTATGTATTTAACAATCTAGAATAACTACTATTTTTTACAGATACATATAGAGCAGTGTAGAGATGAAGCTGAAAAAGCAAACAGAGAGCAGATCTGTCTATGTCAGGCTTTGGAAACTGGGTCCAGGCAGGTGTTTTAAAGACCAAAGGAAAATATATGACAATGAGTGCAAAGACTCTGCTGGACTTGTACAGCTTTAAACAAAACAAATAATAAAAAAAACACATTAAGTGCATTAAATGTAACTTACCTTATCAATTTTGTTTCCCACCAGCATTTTGACAAGATCATTTCTTGTACAGTATGTATCCAGCTCATTCAACCAGTTATCCAGCTTAGCAAATGTCTCTCGCCTAGTGACATCATACACTAAAAAGACACAATCCGAGTGGGACAATTTAGAAATGACATTTAGAGGCTTGGACAACTATAAATCACAACATTTTATGGTTCAGACACCATTCCAGTTTATCGTGTATAATTATCGGTGTATAACTTTGGATTATTCTAAAGTGGTACAATGTTTTCATGTTGTTGTTTTTTTTTTTTGTTAAATAGTATAATAGTGAAAAAAACTGTTTTATGCATGCTTGCTCACCCAGAATGACACCCTGAGCTCCTCTGTAGTAACTGGGTGTTAAAGTTCGAAAACGTTCCTGACCTGCTGTGTCCTGTAAACACGAAACAAAATCAAGGCAAATAGTGTTAAATAATATGTAGCAATGAATATGTTGACATATAAGACATTACAAAAGAGTAGCCTGCCTTCAGAGAAAAAAAAAAGAAAAGAAAAACACTGCCATCTTGTGTTACATTAGTAAAACACAGTCAACAAGCATTATAAGAACTTATTACATCTGTCCCATACAGTAATGTCCAAACTAAGACACGATTGCCCTGGAGACTAAATATGTCTAAATAACTAACTAACAAAAACTGAGGGAAAATAGTTAACTTCACAAAACATAAATCTGTGCAACTCTAAATCTCTAAATGTTGGGATAAAACACGTGCTCACCCAGATTGCAAGCTTTGCTCTGTTCCCATCCACAGCCAGGGTTTTCACCTTGAAATCTACACCTGAATGGAAATAAATTATGTGTTTAGTGCATATAGAATATCATATCAACTTTCATTGTTTTACATTTACATTTAATAATTTAGCAGACGCTTTTATCCAAAGCGACTCACAACGGATGACAGTAGAAGCAATCAAACCAAAAAAAGAGCAACATTATTTAAGTGCTGTGACAAGTCCCGGTTAGTCTAATTCAGTACACGAAGCAAGTTTTTTTTTAATGATAAATAAAAAGAATAAAAAGTAGATAGAATAGAAATAGAATAGAGAGTGCTTGTTTTAGAGGGTCAAGAGTAGATGGAAGAGTTTTATATATAACGCTATAAATACCTTAACAGAAAGGTTTTGTCAGGTTTACCTCACTTCTGGGTACAAAGTTGTCACCAAAAGATGGTTACAAAATATTTGTCCCCAAAAAATGGTTAAAACACACACACATATACAAACACTGGCAAATGTAAACAGTCAAGTGGAATATTCAAAAAGATTCACAATCATATATGGAAATACAGTCTAGATGTTTTATGAGGATTATGATAAAACCATACATATATAGAGAGACAGATTTAATTTTTAATGGCCCCAGATATTTGTCAGGCAACAAGCCCAGAGCGACAAGTTAGAAAGACCAGAATTTATAGCTGAATGGGGAATTGTGGGTTTATTACATAAAGATAAAAAGAAAATAGGACGACTCAACCACCTGTCTCATCACTCAGCAAAGCCACATCACTTACAAACATAAGTGATTTACATTCATAAAAGTAAAATGAAAGTATGTGTAAAGATGACAGGGGAATAAATCTCTCAGCACTCTGTGAATGAAAGATCTGGAGGCATGAAGTACTCCTGAATTTCAGCACAGCACTGACAGATTTACCAGAGGAAGCCTAAGAAGGAGATCTGGACTTGCTTGGTTTGGACTGGATTGGGGGGCTTTGAAAAGAAGACAGCGGTCACATCAACACACGTCAACCTAAATGTGTCAAAGTGATGGCCACAGCTTTGAACAACCAATGAATTTCCACAACATTTATGGTAATAATAACCAGTAAATTATTAATTGGTCTCCAGTGTAAAGACACTAGTGAGAACATGTAGTTGTTAAACAGGATTTGATGTGGATAAATATACTTTTCAATATTTAAAATTTAACGTTTAGGTCCAGAAATCAACAAAGCAAGTAAAGCTGTTTTTCAAGTCAGACCAGCACTAGTGAGGAATGTGTGATAGACGTCAATGTGAGCTGTGATTTGGTTGGGTTTCTGTTTTCACTACATTATAAAGACAAACAATTAAACGAAATTATTATTATTGTTTTACATATCAGTTATCAGAAACTCAAAACACAATGTGAATGTCTGTTTTAGCTACAAAGGATGAGAATACTGTTGTGTTTAAACCTGCTTTTATGTGTGTTGGACTTCTATGATTTTACATACTTACCAATTGTTGCACCAATTTCTGGATCAAATGTATCATCTGTAAATCTCAAAAGAAGACTAAGGAAGAGAAGAGGGGAAAGAAAGGTGAATCAGAGACTGTACTTTCCTTCTTACTAGCAAATTATGACATATGCACACATCTGCAAATATATGTGGTATGGGAATTTGAGAATACTGAACGGACAAACATTCAGAGGTTCCGATCTAAAGCGAGGAAAGGTTGTTTTAATATAACGTTAAGGAGCTCGTGCAATGTGTTGTTGTTTTTGCTCCATCAGATGACATTCGTAAACTTGAAGTATAATTACCTGGATTTGCCCACTCCACTTTCTCCGATGATCAGTATTTTCAGAGTGGTTAAAATATCCTCAGTCATATTTTCCAGAAGATGCCACTATGAGCAAAAATACTGTCGATATAAATAAAAATATATAAAATGGAAAAGCAAAACTATTATTTGAGGGCCAAACGTTTCTCTCTTCTTCGGTACAATCTTTCGATGGAGGTAAACATCTGAAAAACATAGCTCTGCCATCTAGCGGAGGTTTATAATAATCATCGTAGTAGAGTATAGTCGTTTTATTTCTTAATTTCAAGATCTTTATACTAGACGCACAAAATGGAAATCCTCCTCATGTATTTCTATACAATAATGTTTTAAATCTTTATTCAAAAACAACTTTGATTAGTCCATCTTGACTAGCGATAAGAAAAGTAACAGATGCCACGTGACAAAACAATCTTAAAGGGGTCATATGATGCTTTTTTAAAGAGCATTATTTTGTGTATTGGTTAAGTGATGTGACGTGATGCTGTCTCTCTCTCTCTCTCTCTCTCACACACACACACACGCGCGCGCGCGCGCACACACACACACGATGCGCAAAACTCCGCATCTGAACAGTCAATAGCAAATACTTAAACTAGTAACAAAACATTACAGTCGCTGATTCAGAAGCGCCAGATTGTCATAGCAATTACCTCCTCTCCTAGGTTCATGAAACGGTCGTCCATAAAATGCATTGCTGTTCTGTTGTAAGTGATCTTAAAGATTCCTAAATGCATCTACTTTCGGAAGGCCAAATAAAGTGTTTTTGCTTTCGCCTAGAAACACACAGCGTCTCCCTGACATGGCTGCTTCAACACTAGCTGCGGTTACTGAAACCAGGCCTTCTTTCTTTGCGTGCACATTTGGGCGCATTATGCAAATATTTCCACATAGTGACCTAGATATGTGGGGGCATGTTAGAACGAGCCGTTTTAGGGGGGCGTGGCAGAGTCTTAACTTTGATAAAGAATATCTCTTTGGTTTTGAGACTTTAGTCTTTGCAACTTCAGGGATCTTATCTATTCACGAACAGCTTGTAACACTCCAAAGAGAAAGGAAAACTTGAAATCGCATCATATGACCCCTTTAAAATTGAGAAATATGAATAATCTGATGGACCCTTTTCACAAGACTGTGACAAGGCATTTAACGGTCATCAGCATCGTAAATCCTCTAAAGTTTTTCATATTTGTATTTTTTTTTTTTTAAATGTGTCTACATTTATAACACTATTCTTTGTATTATATCACCTTTGCATCAAATTACGAAAAAACAGTTAACGCTAATGAGAGGGTGTTTCTAATGCAGCCTCAATTCTAGGGACGGTAAATTTGACATCTTTCTCTCTTCTGACAGCCGTTATCAGTCTCTCTCAATTTTTTCCTTTTATTGAAAGTCATGAAAACACTATCGTGGAGTTTTTATTTTGCTATTTGAGCAACTGGGAATGCAAAAATTATATATTTGTGGTGCTCTCCCATTCGCTGCTCTTCAAGTTTACCCCACTATGACGACTTCCGCTGCTGAGAAACCCGGAAATGTGAAAAAGGTCCATTGTTTTATGTTCGCACACATGAGGTCGCCGGTGTTCTGCATAAATCACTAAATCTAAGAAGCAACTGTTTAAGCGTGCGATTTGTTAGCCAGATTGAAAAGAAGCTTTCCATCTTTTTAAGACTCTTTGGCTAGATTTATGTGAAGCAAAATCTACAATAGTAAACTGGCAGAGTGAAACACATCACTAAGAGGGTCATTGTGATTTGAATATCATTACAGTTTCACAAAATCCAAGAAATGTTGCCAGTTATGGTCTATGGAGGTATTGTAATACACAAATTGGTACACATTCACACACACAAGATTTTTTTTAAAAGCAGTTTAATTTTCTATGTACAATCCTTTTGTTGCCAAGTTGACAACAGTCATCAGCAAAATAAAATAGAGTAATATCCATACGGTGCAAAACAAACAATGGTGGCTTTGCTCCCACCCTCAAAGTTAAAATGATTTTTCACATTCCACATTCCTTTATTTCTGCAAAGTGAGGCTGAAAGCTGACTCAATCTAAAGGTTTCCTTTTACTTTGTCGAATCAGTAAATCACTTTGAATAAAGAATAAGCAGCTGTGCAGAAAGACTGAAGCATCTCATCGACTTTGAGCTGGAGCTTCTCCTTTACAAATATACTGATACCAGGTTTCATCCAGTGCTGATTTGTACAAAATGACTGGACAAAAAACAAACAAAAAAAAGCTCTTAAGATTTATGGGCCCAAGCATAAAAGAAGTATATCTACACAGGACCCTGCATATAGTGTATTTTGAAAATGTGTAGCAAACTTCACTGCACAATAAACAAAGTTATAAATGTGCCTTGAACATTAATACGAAAGTTGGTCTGAATTAAGCACCAAGACTCCATAATCTGGCTGAATTAGGAGTGAACAGTTTAAGCACTGCTTAAAAGCACCATTTTCAGTACATCAGGTGGATGGACTTTGAGTGGTCAAAACAAAGCAGGATTACAGCCTGAACTCTTCTGCCAAATATTCTTTTGTTTGACCAAACATTCGCAAACGGATTACTTACAAGCCCTAAAACCTGCACGTGCACAGCTAGAGACTGCAAACTATAATGAAACTTCACATATGCACACGGTGTTATTTGTGTTAGAATGTAGTACATGTATAACTCTCAGTGTATGATGCATTGCAGTGTAGCCTACTGGTGTTTCAGCTGTGTCAGTGCAGTGGTTGCAGTGTGTTCGGCGGAGGGGAAGTGTAGCGGTACTTTCAGGCCCAGTTTCCAGAGCAGTCAGCCAACAGAGGACCACACCCTGGCCTGAGCTGCCCTGTTCTCCATGGGCTGCTCTTACCATAGCCAAAAGTTTGGCCAGACCACTGGATTGAAAATAAGGGGCCAGACACTCAGGAGGAGGAGGAGGAGCAGAGGCTGGTAAAATACTTTCATACAGATTACACTTTTTTCTGCAAAGAACAAGCTTTGAGTGATCACATTCTGTAATTTACCTTAAGACGTTTATCCTGAAGCTGCTCTCTACAACTAGTGTGAAGCCCGATGAAAGGCATTACTAAACATCAACATACAAACACAGAGTGGCTTATATTTATTTAAACATTTACAAATAAATACTTGAAGATTTTGTCTTCCATTAATGGCTTCTTGTTGAAGAAAGAAACACTTTTATAGACTTTTAAGTAATTACCGACTGAGACCAGTGAGTTTTGTGCACATTATATTTAGATGGTAAGTTATGGACCATACTATGTTCTGTGTTCTGTCATGATAAATAATAAAATCATAATAAAATTCTCTTTCCTCTAACGTTACACTACCATTCAAAAGTTTGGGGTCTCTTGCGCTCACCAAGGCTGCATTTATTCGATTAGAAATAGAGAAAAACAGTAACATTGTGAAATATTACTACAATGTAAAATAACTGCTTTCTGTTTTAATGCGAAACTGAATATTCGGCAGCTATTACTCCAGTCTTCAGTGTCACGTGATCCTTCAGGAATCATTCTATTATGCTGATTTGACACTCAAGAAACATTTGTTTCTGTCAGGACCACTATCGTCAAAGATGATTGACAATTAGCATACAGTTTGGATTGGCGGTATGGTTCTGTTCTGGGCAAGAACTCCCTGCGCCTCCATGCAGCCTAGCATGGATGAGAGCAGGGAGAGCAGCAATAACCCCCCAGGGTAAACAGAACAGAACTAACATAAATGTATTGCAGATATTGTTAAAGTTCAATCATTTTATGTACACATTTTAGAATTAGTCTGATTCAAGGAGAATCAGAAGGCTGAATCCCGACTGACAGAGGAGGAGTTGGGGATGGAGGAGGGTAATTAGCTATTGAGCAATGCGAAAACTGCTGATAATACTGAGGGACCTTATATATGAATGCTTAGATAGGTGTCGTATTCCCATAGGTAGATGGGGATCAGCTGAAGGTCAGCTGATGCGAGCTTGACTAACGTGACCTGCCAGAACTAACGCTACGCTTGATTATTATTATAAATGTTGAAAACAGTTGTGGTGCTTTATATTTTTGTGAAAACTGTCCTATATTTTTCAGGATTCCTTGAACAAAGGTCAAAAGAACAGCATTTATTTGAAATAAAAATTATAAATGCCTTTACTGTCACTTTTGATCCATTTCATACATCCTTGCTGAATAAAAGTTCAATAAAACTATTTAACTTTTCAAAAAAAAAAAAATGTACTGACCCCAAAATCTTGAACGGTAGTATATATACATTTGGTATTGTGGCATTACTGTTGGCCTCTATTTGGTCTCTATTTTTAGTTTTTCCTAATTTGTTAGTCATTTTATAGTCAGATCATGATCCAAGGATAGTGCTATAATGAATAATGATAAAACAGCACCGGGCACCGGACTCAGTCAAGGTCTTCCAGAATTAATAATTCTGGAAAATAGTGTGTCTATGGTTCAGTCAATTCAATTTCAACATCACTCATACATGGACAAAATTAAATAAATAGATACAATGAAAGTGAAAAGTTGGTGGAAAAGAACTTATGTGCCAGACTTCATCTCCCATTCCTAGGGGGAAAAAAAGGAGAACAGAGTGAGTACATAGGGGAAAATACATTATACGTATACACTGTAAACTGTAAAAGCAACTGGAGGATCATGCTTTTACATGAGAACCAGAATATGTTACCTGCTATTAATACCTAGTGTGATGTAGAAAATAAGTGTTTACTGACCTTGGCTTTCCTGAGGACGTGTCCTCGCACAGATGAGGCTTTCTGTTGTGTCTGACGCCGCAGCAGAGATGCACTGTTGACTGGCAGAGAGCAGGTCTCAGTGTCACTGGTGTCACAGCTGGAAATGGGCGAGTTGTCCACCGTTCGCCTCATTAACACTGGAGACTAAGAACAGATGAGACATTTTAATACCTGCTTTTCTCTATCACCAAAAACTGAACGTGACACGACCCTACAGTTAGCATTACATCATGTCTATGTTAGAGAAATTGCTGTTTTTCCAGACCTGTGGGCTGGAGCTGCCCGTTTTGGGTTCAATGGTCAGGCCCAGGGTGACGCCTCCATTCAAGGCTTTCTTCAGACTCTCCTTCACCTCTGTCAGCTCCAGTTCCAGATTGACTCGTTCCTCCTC